GAGAGAGAGAGGAAAAACTCCAAGCTTAATATAAAAACTTCATTTCGCAATCGGCAGCAGCCGGAGGAAACGCGAAGAGCCGACACGCAGAATTGCGCGGTCGTCACAAAAAGAAGCGAGCTCGAAAGAATCTTATTTTTCTGGCATTAAACTTTTCGCGGTGCGCAAAATTGCTCCAAATATAACTTATTATCCTCGACAAAATATTGGCGACAACGTGCTGCTTTAAAATGAAAAAAAATTTTGGTGACAACTTTCGGAATATTGCAAAGTGCAAAACGACGAATTATTTTTGCAAACGACGAGAGATTAATAAAACGGGCGTACAGATCCGAACGGTGAAAATTATCGCCGCGTAGTTCTCCCGAGGAATCCGTTATCGGGGAAACTCCGCCTTACACGGCAAAGAGAGTAAAATAGAGAATCGCCGAAGAAAGATAGCGCAGTCGCTTTTATCGCGCGAAGCGCTGCAACTGTGTCGATCTGAGGAACGCACCCCCTCTCTCCCCCGTCGCTCTTTTCTCGAACTTTTCGTTCGTATATTTCGGGCCTTTCTTCCTATATGTTTTCGGAGTGCTCCTGAAAGAAGGGGTCGGGCTGCCGAACATCGGTGGCGCGAGCGAGGCGCGCGCGATGAAACTTTTAATAAATGGCAGAGTCGATATGAAGTATAGGACTTTGACATATCGTGTGTCTGTAATGTATAGTTAAATCTGGTGGCAGATGTGGAGGGTGTTCTCCGTTCTCCCATCTCTCTTCGTTACTCCCGCTCACTCGCCCTCTTTTGCCTCCTCTCTAAACCATCCGCTCCCGCTTCGCGCTCTAGAATGGTTGACACCCTTACCCCCCCTCCTCCCCTCGAAAATTTCCTTCTAACCCACTGACGCAATTGAATAAATTATTAATACGAATTTACATACACACATACACACACAAATAGACAATTAAAATATATCTCATTTTATTTTCCTAAATAAAATTTTTCTAATAAAAAACATTTTTCAAACATTTTTTCAACTCTTTAATATTTTGCATTGTTTATATTTTCTACTAGATTTTAATAATCATTTGTGTCATATATCTGTACCTCAAACATTTATTTATTTATTGGTATTCTCATTAAGATTTACATAAAATTTAAAAGAAGATAATATACGAACCTAAATGTTTATATGAATATCTTTATTGCAACGAAAGGTACGTAAATGTATCGTCTATTTAATTAACTGCTGCAATATATAGGATACGGTAGGTTTGATCTTCTCACGCTAAAGGGGATCGATTCTAGCAAGTAAATGACTCTTGCTTCATGCGGATCGCTCGATGAGGGTAGTAGCACAAATTTTTTCTTTGGAAGCGACAGTGAACTTTTCAATCAAACTGCCTGTCTAAATGAAAGCTCCTCCACAAAGCGGATCAGGGTAATCTGTCATCAAAACTGTTCCACAGCGAGCCGCCGCGCCCCCGGCAACCCCGACCGTTGCAATAACGACACGGCTGCATTCGATCTATGAACCGATCCAGTACCAAATTTACTTTTGAAGGAGCATTTTGTGTTTGTATATTTTGTATAGTTTAAATATAAATATGCAAAATAAAACGATTTATATTTATATACATATACTAATCGTAAGCAGATGCTTGAAACTTCTCGTATCACGCATCGATAAATTCTCTGCCATAACGAATAAATAAATGAATAAATAAGACCGAGAAGTAAATAGATACTCTATTTACTCTATTTGTGTAACAATATTTCAACGGGTAATCGCAAAAATACGCGCTCACGAGTCACAATTTTTAATTATTCTAGGGAAAATTGGATCCGACTCAAAGACCATTCTATTATTATTACACTCAGCATCAAACACGACGAAAAAAAAAAACATCATTGGACCAAACCCAAAAAGAATCAAATGAAATGACGAAAAGTAAAATATGCAATTTAACGAGCCGTTTTTAATGTTCCTGATCGTTTCGCGGACTTGACGATGAATTCGCGGGTATCATTCGTGGGTTAATAAAGGAGAGATTATCATACCTCGATTCGGACGCTTATCCTAGGCGAAGGTGGAGGACCGCGTGGCCGAGCACGTGAGAAAGTTCCCCACTACTTGGCAGGATGCCGAATGACGCGCTCGCGCGTACCGCCCACAGTTGCGCCGAGTAACCGTGGACGCCCAAACGGGCCTCGTGCTCGTCAGCACGAGAGTCGCCCGCCTGCACTCTCACGGCACGGACCTGATCGTCGTACCCTCCTGGCTGTGTGCCCTCCGAGCCCTCCAAGGCCACCGTCGCCACGACAGGCCAGCCCGCCTACGTTGGCGGAGGGCTGTGCCTCACCGCTCGTGTTACCGCTCTACGATTGGTCGCTCCATTCCGGCAAGTGAAGTCACGTGACCGGGCCGCCGCCACATTAAAGGACGACTTCCACCTCGATGCCGAAGTGGACTCCCAACCGCCCCCTCCCGGAACGAGGAAAGAGACAGCAGTAACAACAGAGACACCGGGAACACCGGAGAGGCGAAAAAGATCGTGGAAATTTCGGTCCTCGCGACTGGAGACGGCCGTCTCTTTCTACGGGACGTCCTTCGCCTCTCCTGCCGCACCTTCCACACGACGGATACCTCCACCACAGGTCTCTCGGACCTCCCCCCACTTTCTCGCGGCTGCTATCTCTACATCCTCTCTCTCTCCTCTGTCACTTAGCAAGTATACCGCGATCGGTGACTTGGCGTACCCTAGCCCGCTTGTCTGGGTTTTGGCCGATCGGTAGGCCGCGGTACGCGCGATTCGGTACGGCGTTCTCCGTCGATCGGTCGGACTATCGATCAACTTGTCGTGTTGATTACGTGTGACAGTGGTGATCTGTGCTTGATTGTTCCCGCATTGAGATGGCGAATCTATGAGTCGAAGCTTATCCGAGCTACGTTGACCGCGACTAAGCAGTGTCATGTTCGTAGCGTGGTCCAAAAATCCTTTCTCTCTGTTGATACCAGGTTAAAAATCATAAGACAAGTTACTTTAGTTAATTTTTGTAAAGGGAAATAATTTATGACGATGATAGTGAGTACTATCGTGAATACTACAGTGTGCAGTGAATAAGTAGTAAATGATTGTAATTAATCAATTAGAGATCGATGTACTCTCCCTTGACATAAACGAAAGTAAGTAATAAGTGTAATAAAGAAAAAGCGATGCTTGAAAAGCTCGCGTGAAAAAGAAAAGTAATAGATTTGTGTCATTAAAGTAAAGAATGATTAGGATTTTACATCATACGTACGACTCGCGTACTAATGACAATGTATGAAAAAATGTGATAGGCTATACAAGCAGATCTGTGCTTTCTTTAGTCTTCTCAAAAACAGATTTTGAATAAATGAATGAAGTAATGAATTTCCATAGTTAATGGAATTGCAATGCAATGTTTTAATATAAATGTATAATATATATACGTACGTACATTTTGAAACTTGAAAAATAGACAAAACTGTTAGTGAGACATTTATCAAGTGAATTTAAGTGCATAGTGTGTGTTTCTTTCAAAATCTACACGGTTCACGGTTGGAAATTATATCAAAAAGGAATATCGAGAAAAGAGGCTCCCCTAATATTCCGCAATTACATTTTATCAAGAATTAACAAATCATTCTCTCATTATACATTACATTTGTTATCAGAAAACAGAAATAAACTACAAGTGCAAGTTAGTGAATGTTATCTCATGCGTAGCAAGCAACAAGCATTGGTACACTCCGAAGAGGAATCACACCAATTACAATTGTCCAGCTCTGGCAATCTGCAACTCAACAATCATCTTCAAAATTTGGTCCACGCGAGTAAAGAGCTATCGACTGTGAAGACGAGGCCGACGACACCCGTCCTGGCGAACGACGGAGGGGGCGGCTTCTGGCTGGCCACGGTGGCCGCGGGGGCAAGTACCCCAGCCGGGCTGCCCCCGCACGGGACTCATCATCCAGCCATGGATCCAACATGCGGATCCGCCGAAACCGGCTTCATCAACAGTCAGCCTTCCATGGCCGAATTTATGACGGCGTTGCCACAATTAACTGGGGATAGCAGTCTCCAACACTCGCCGGGAACTGGTGGTTCCATCAGTCCTGGTGCTCATCATCCCGCGTATCATACCATGATGGATCCTCACGGTGTCGCTGACCCCTCGGGTGTCAACGTTCCTGAATATCCCTGGATGAAGGAAAAGAAAACTACTAGGAAAAGTAATCAGCAAGGTGAGTCGCCAAATTTTACTTTTCACTTTTCATAATCACATAAATATTAACAAGAAATATATTTTCACAATTATTAGATTTTAAATCTATAAATAAAAAGTATCTTTAAATTATCATTGGCTAACTGACAGTGTACTACGATAATATAATATATTTAAATTTTAAAGCTTACTGTAATAATTATCTTTTATTTATTAAAAATAATTAATAATTTAAAATAAATAATTTAGAAAAATTAATCGATTACCATAATAAGTTAATTGTTGATTGAAGTTATATTGATTAAAAATTAATATTAATATAAAAACCTTGATGAAGAACCGACAAATGAACCTACTGATGACCATTATTTCTAGCAAGATCTACGTTAAATTAAACAAAAACACATGATTACTATATATAAATTTGTCAGAAATTCATAATGACAACTTGAATGTCAATTAACAAGGTAGTTAGGATTCGGTGTGTCGTTTACGGCGTGTTAGGAGTCTATTGGCTCTTCGCCGCTACATTGTGGCTCACCACGGGGTGCCACTATCCGTCGGCTAATGATAGTTCCAAACCATTCCTTTTCTACTAGCGTCGATGCACATCTGGGCTACATAACGTGCAAAAACTACAGATTCCAAGGTATAAATAGAGCGGATGTTTACAAAATATCATGATTTATTTTTTCTTCACAATCTTTTCAATTCACAAAAATGATATCCAAAAAGAAATTTTTCAAAAATAATTAGCATGCAGTTTCTGAGCAAAACTGCATGCTGATTATTTTTGAGAAATGTCTTTCTTAATTCGTATAACTTATGGCACACTTGCAATCTACAATGTAATTTATATACGTAAGATTAATGTACTGTATATTATAAGATACATTATGTATTTATTTCACTTATTATCGCTCATTATACATAAATTTCAATAAAATTGCGCATGATATGAAATAAAAGTTTCGCGAAATAACTTTGACGCGTTAAGTTGAGAAGATATCCGAACACACGTTTTTCCAACAACTTGTTGGCTATTATGAAGCTATCGACGATCAACCGATAAATTTGTGGAGAGATTCACAGCACAAATTTATTGGTCTCTCCGATAGCCTTACAATAGCCAACAAGTTGTTCGGAAAATGAGTGTCCGCAAATATTTATCCGACTTAACGTAGCGAAATTAATTCGTAGAATTCTCAATAAGTTACTTACAAATTTTTCCCAAATGAAATAAATAATAAAATAGAATAAATAATAAATGACAAAATATGTGCTTTTAACGTGCATTAATTTTACACGTTGAATTACATGACATATCACATGTCATTGAAGCTCATATAATAGTGGATAGAGATACAATCCGAAGGGTTGGCCAACTTTATGGGCTACTAGGGTCGTCGTTCGGCAACATCCGGGACCTTACAAACGTCTTAGTCTATTTATCTATCCCCGTTTCTCTCTTTCTCGTGCCGATCTTGCGTATACAACGGCGATTTAACGTCGTGCCGACTCCAAAACGTGGTCAGACCGTCCGCAGGACACGTCGGAAGATTAAGTGTTTGGCACGGAGGTTAACCAGCCGCTGGCCAGGCGGTAACACGCGGAATCATCTGTAAATTGAGCCCAGGACTAGCGGGAGAGAGCGTCGGGACGGCCATAACTCACATGGGGTGCCGCCACCGACGCCTCGTACACGTCGACTCTTTGCTTTCAACTACCGTGTTATCCCTTATCGCTCGCTGCCTCGGTCATCTCTTTGTGATTTGCGAGCCTATATATAATAATCGCGTATCTCTTTATAATTATACTTCTAGAGATGAGAGCGGACAAAAATTCTATATCTACTAAAATTGAAATAAAATTTTCAACATTTATAATTAAAAAATTACGTTTCATAATATTAAAAAATGCAAATGCTATGATAATATTAATAAAAACTTTATATTAAATTTATTGTTCAATTTTCGACTAAATTTAGTTATTATTTAATTTAAAAGAATACTTCTTCTTTGTTTCAGTTATATTTCTAAGCTTCTATGAATTATAGCCAACAGAAATTAAACTAATTATCCCGTTATTACGATTTTAACTGTCGAATCCACATTAATGAATTTCTATCCAAGACGGCGTTATCTCCGTCACGAGGTGTGTCCTACGAAACCTTAAGTAACATCTCATCTTTTCGTATGTGTCACCATGCTGCTCGTATTAAATTTCAATCTGTTACATCTACGTGCCCTCCAGCTGAGATGTTTTAGTTCGGGGACGCCGTGGATGGGACGATGAAGGAGGACGTGGTCTGATTAGTTGAGTTATTTGCCAGGAGAAGAGGCGCGACCGACGTTCTATGCTTCGTCGGTAATTCTTGCTGGATACCTTTTCTACAAAAAAGCCACGAATCTACGAGTGTTTTTCCCGACGCCTTGTTCCAGGCGTCTCATCAGTCACGTCGGTGGGTGCCAAAGCAGAGGCGTCAGCCCAGCAGACTCCTCCAAGACGCCGATGTGTCAATTAATCCCTGCATCCCTCGGGATAGGACTAGGCTAGAAGCTGGATTATCATCATCCTCATGCCGCTATCTTTCGTCCTCCGTCTTGCACCCTCCTGCGGGACGGCCATTTTCGTGGCCGAACTCTGCTTCTTACTAAACTACATTAGGCTGCGTTTCCATCATTAATTAATATAACGATGATACTTGATGCTACTAATAGTCCAGCTTGATGCTCGCAAATTTGTAAAATAAAATTATGACGTAATTTTAGATCTGTACGAACGGAGTGAAAATAACGGAGAGAGTTGTAAGAGCAAGGATTTTCTAAGAGCCTACGGCAAGACACAAATATCGGTAAGCGTAGTGGAACTGAGGAGAGGGAAGGCATAAAGGTTCGATAACGAAAGAAGGGTGGAAGGAATTGACTATAGTCGATGATTCCATGATATAGGTGATTGAGCGAACGGGACTTTATCCTTCGGGGAGGAACGCAGTACGAAAAGAATGGAGCATCTAATTTAAAGATTCATTGGCGAGTAAAATCCTCGCTGAATTAGAGATAACTCTCCTAGAAAATCCCAGCTACTATGATACTCCACAGCCCACTGTCTCTGTGGTTGCTTGCTTGGGAAGAAAAAAAAGTCTTAAAAAAAAAACGAATATCTGTAGTAAATGAATTCATATTATTTGTATGATAAGATGCGTCGAAAATAATCTTTTTTATCAGTATTCACTGATATGAATGAGTAATTCATATTAATATCATTATTTTAATAAAAAATATTGTTTAATAATATAAAGCATATAAAGAATTTCATTAAATATTATTATTTTTTACAAAAATTTAATTTAATATTGGAATATAATACTGGAATACTGGCCAATATAATACTGGAAATTACTTATTTTGAGTATTAGAAACATTGTTCTTTAGACATTGTTGCTTTAAACATTGTTGCTTTCAATATTCAGAATAAGTAATTAATCACTATTTTCCAATAATAAATTTCTATAAGGGTAAAGCTGACTAATGATGAAGTACCGACATTTTTTGGCTAAAGAAATACTGCTTCTAGATTTTTTTCTATGAATTTTCTAATGAATCGGTAGAGTTGAGAACATGTGCACGGTATGTTTAGAATATGCTTACGATATGTTTTACAATTAACATTATTCAAACAATAGATAATGTTAGCAGCCAATAAGATGATTGCAAATATTCAATGGATCTGTCCAACTTAGCAAGTCGAATTATAGAAAAAACATTATAATTCGCGTACATTTTCATATGTTTTCTATGTATACAGTTTTCTCAGTTCGCACATTGATGCAAAACATCTGGAGGAATAACGCCGCATAAAATATTCTAGACTATCCCCCAAACCATCCAAATACGATGTTTCACAGCTGCAACAGAGCGTTTCAGTAGCAAGATGTGGGTGGTTCGCCGATTTGCAGAGCTCAAATAATAAACACGGTATAACAAATTGATAATCTGAAACCCCATAATCGTACGCATGTTTCGGTCCGGAATCTGTAGCCCGGCACTAAAAGAAGTTTCCACGCTCGTTGTTGTACCAAATGGAGCGCTATAAAAGCATGGGGTTCGTATCGTTGTGCTCCCTCTCTGTCTTTCTTTCCCTCTTTGATATCATTCTCTGTCACTCCTAGATCACACTGAGATATAAAATATAATATGATTTTTAAAGGCAAAAGTAAATTTTTATGTTATCGATGTTTTAACGGTAAGAACAAATAAAACTAATCTGATCACTAATATTAATAAAATTTTAAGTATAAAAAATATTCAAATGTAATACATGATTAGGAATATGCACCAATCAGGATACTCTACGATGTTCTATAAAGAAAATGAAACAACCGCGATTTTCTATAGCAATAATAATTTTATGTAAATGTTCGAAAGTGAAGCTCTCAAGAATGGTGACGATATTGTCAGATAGACATCTTTCGCCATGCTCTTCGTATCTTCCCCTTTCTAGCAGGGAATAAAAGACATCGAGGGTTCCTATATCTGTTATTCCATACTCGTAAAAGGAAAGGAGGTGTAAAAATTTGCAAAAAAGATGATAACATATGCCAAAGGGTCAATCATAAATGATCGTAAAAACAAATATATTTGTTATTTGAAAATTTTATTTTTCATTAAACGAGCTAGTGGCATTATTAACGACTGTCTTAGTTATACTTTCAATTAATTGCATGTGTACACTAGTACGAAAAATTATTCTAATATTAATATTTTTTAATCATATTAATTGAGAATAAAGTCTGCTTTCACTAAATTTCTCTTATTTATTATCTATAATATTTATATTATTTCTATAAGATAATATTTGTATAATATTTATATTCTTTCTATAATATAAATAAGCTGTAAAAATTTCTAATAATATATAATTAAATCTCTATATAGTTTATTAAAAAAATACAATTTTAAAATCGAGTAACACAAGCTCACCGATATATCTTTTATGAGATGTATCATGTTCAAATAA